GTTTTAAGGCAGAAGAACTTTAGTAACATGTTATATAGCAACAGAAAACTACTATAGATGTTATTTCCTGTTTGGTTTTATTTTTAGAGCTTTTAAAAAATGATAAAAGCTCTATATGCTAATTTTGAAACCTTCTTATTCTCCCTTAAGTAAACACTGTTAACAATTTCTCTTCTTTCTTTCCACAGATTCCTTACGAATATGCATGAATACACAAGACTGTACCATGATTACAGATACTTACTCCAAAACACACAAACAAGTGAAATTATAACATGCACTTTTTTCATTTAACTTATCTGGGCATTTTTTTAATATACTACATAAATATTATATCAATATCTGTTAGATTATATATCTGAGTCATTTTTACCTAAGCAGTCCATTACTAGAGAGCAAGTTAAATTAAAAAACCTGTAACAATTTACCTCTCTACTTACTAATTATAAACAATGTTACATTTATAACTTCCTGTTGTTCTGTGAGAATATAAGATAAATTCCCATATATAGATTTACTAAACCAAAGAATAAATACATTTAGAATTTTATTTTTAAAAATATTTTATTTATTACTTTATTTTATGTGTCTGAGTGCATTGCCTACATGTCTGTAAGTGCACCCATGTCCTGCAATGCCCACAGAGGTCAGAAAAGGGTGTTGGAACCTCTGGAACTAGAGTTATGGATGGTTGTTAGCTGCCATGTGGGTGCTGGGAATAAAACCCAGGTCCTCTGCAAGAGCAGTCAGTGCTCTTAACTGTTGATCCATTTCTCTAGCCCTATTTAGAATTTTAAACAAAACTATAAACCACTATCCTAATGGTTGTACTGATTCAAACAGTCACACTTATGAGGAATGGACTGCTTCCTCTCACTGGTGCTATTACTAGATTTAACAAATAAGAAAGTTTACCCAACTCTAAGTAAATGCCACTATCCTAATGTTGTGATTCAACCCTGTTTTATGATTGCAGAGAACTTGCATGTCAAATGTTTTTCATGGTCCTTTTTTTCTATGATATGTTATTTATACCATTTTCTATTGATCCATTCACCGCTTCCTATCTATCTACACAAACTCTTTGCACAGTAAAGTGACCAGATAGGCAATTACTTATGGATGCACAGATATATTCCACACTTCATTTTCTTTTCATTTTTCATATTACACAGAAATTTTCATTTTTGGAACGATACACTAGTATTTTCCATTGGGACTTCTGAATAGTATTTCATGTTTAGAATCTTCCTGGAACTAGGAACCTGTAAATTTTCTATTTTTCTCTTTTTAAAGGGATTCTCCTATTCCTTGTTCTTGCAAGAATCCCTGGATCCTCAAAACACAGTACATGATGTCAATGTCTCTTCCTCTGAATACTCCTGACACAAATAATTAACATGGATAATTGGCATAGGAAGAGGAGGCGTGGCCAGCTCACATATCCTTCTCTCAGAAAAACAGAAAGGGGAATTGTGCAGTATAGGATAATGACAGTTGAGAGATGGCAGTTTTCATACTGGTTTGGTGGTGGTGGTGGTGTGTGTGTGTATGCTGGCATCTCGCCATCCCCACCTGGCACTGTGTATTAAACACAGGTGACGAAAGGAAGAACTGAAGCATGGAAAGTGGCCAGGCATGTACCCTACCAAGACACCATCACTGGCCTTCTAGTAATTCACATTTTTTTTCTCCAGCTATTTTACACAGAAATAGGGATCTGGCAGATTGTGATAAATGCCACTTCTTACAAAAAGTCTGACAGATGTCTACTGACTTGAGTGAGTAACAACCTGTTGGCTCTGCAACAGAGAAAAAAATCTTCTCAGGCCCTAGCAGTGAGTCTCTTGTCTTGTCGCTCCCCCTCAGATTACATTCTAAAATTACATTAGATTCTAATGCGGAGGGGAAAGAATTCAAGCTAGGGCAACACAAAAAAGGGAAAAAATTAAAAGAACCATTAAAGCCTTAACCATAATTCTCTCTTCTCAATATTAGAACTGAAGAAAATTGCAACAGAAAAAGGCGAATCAACAGACAGTTAAAGGTGGTGAAATGAACCCAAAATATTGCATTGAGGAGCAAGATCACATTCCTAATGTCACTGTTGAATTGTACTTAAGAAACAGAATCTATCATTCACCTAGCACTTAGTATACTACCAGGCGTGGTGGTGGGTGTGGGGGAACAAAAGGTTTATAACACACAAAGTTCTAGGCCCCAAATAAGATATTTACCTTTGCTTGACCCTCTATAGGCTTTTACTATATACTTTTTTTTTTTTTTTTTTGGGGG